TATTCAAGAGTCTGCACGGGTCACTTAAAATTTTCAGTTACAATTTACTGTCTCATAGGGAAAAAATTGCATGTTTCAGTAGACAGTTACTCAAGCTGGTTTTTTCTTCTTTTTTAATTATGTCCTTTGAAAGGCACTCCCAGTTTCTTTTCTCTCTATTCCCACCCGTCAAGATTTTGTTGACCTTTGCATTCTATGGCTTATAATAAAAACACTATTGATATGTTGACTATTCTTTTCTTAAACTATACACAATTCTTCATGATTCCAACAAAAATGTCTAGGGGGCATTGGTCTCACACCTTCCTCACCTAGTTTGAGAATTATAGCTTTAATAGTATTTGAACATTTGTGGATTCACAAAGGACCTTGGGACATATGTTTCCCAAGTGTCAAGTGTCTACTCTATTTACCATCCATTTAAACAACACATGGATATACAAAGCTTAGTGTAGTCATCATTGCCTAAATAATGTATTAATAGTTTCAAGTACCAGTGGAAAGAACCCTGGGAGGAAGCCTAGGCATAAAGTTTCTAAACCCAGTTGTGCTGCTGTAGGGCTGTGAAGACTTAGGCGAGTCATATCAGGACTCCCTGGGACAGTTCCCTTATTGATTAAATCATATCAGGACTCCCTGGGACAGTTCCCTTATTGATTAAATCATATCAGGACTCCCTGGGACAGTTCCCTTGTTTATGGAATCATCCCTCACCTTCGTTTACTTGCAGACTTCAGCAGTTCAAGTGAAGAACAGGAAGAAGCACTTTTGATTGACTTGAACTCAAGAGGCAAGACATTTAGAATATAGCACTCACATCAGCGGTAGCAGTGATACAGCTGGGAAGACACAGGGTGTCATTTTCACTCCACTGTGATGGGGAGTCAACCATGGAATGGAAACACTCTAAAAGAGCCTGGGAAATCATATATAATCTCAGATCTGCCTGAATTCTCAGGAAGAAAAATTGTTTGGTAGAAAAACCATTCCAAATTTTGCATCAGGTTTGTATTAGGCCTCATCTAGAGAAAGTTGTTAGTGTTCCAAAGGAACTCGGAGAACTTCCACATTAGCTTAATAATTTACAAGTTTCCACTTAAGCAGGGCAGCCATGTACAGCTGTGCAGTTTGTATACTGCACAACATCAGAGAGCAATGTTTACATAGTCCATGATGTGAGTGGCTCCCTCAAGCACACTATACACACCTATATATGGCATCCCTGCACTCAAGTCCCTTGTGTCATTTGTTGGTTGGGTTGGCACAGTCCTGTCCAATGTCAGAAGCTATGTATCTACTTGCCTTGGCTGTTCAGTCTTCCAGCATAAGCTTTTCCCTATTAAGGAAAAAAAATGGGCCTGGGATATCATTACCCCTTAGTTGCCCCAAGCCTGAGGACCCAAGCCCTGAGATCTGTTGTCCTCAAGCCTCTCCCAGGGGACATGACCAGAGAGGTCTGGAAAAGGCGAGGGGCAGCTTTCATCTCACATCCACTAGTCAGCTTTCTTTCATGGCTATTATCCACTAAATGCATGCAATTCCTCTCCTTCCTGAGAGAGGTGCTTCTTCACCCCAGTAAACTGTTTGCTTAAATATTCATCAAACCCTTTCCTACTATCAATAAATCAGCTCCACTAATTCCTGTCACTGCTAATGGATCTCTTTGCCCCACTCTCTTTTCATTCCTTCCACTCTTCCACTTACCTTGTCCTCCCAGATAATAACTATAAGGGTAAAGGCTGTGATTGACTACGTGCCCAGTGCTGTGCTTTCCCTGTCTCTCTTTTTTTTTTTTTTTTTGCAGTACGCGGGCCTCTCACTGACGTGGTCTCTCCCGTTGCGGAGCACAGGCTCCGGACGCGCAGGCTCAGCGGCCATGGCTCACGGGCCCAGCCGCTCCGCGGCATGTGGGATCTTCCCGGACCGGGGCATGAACCCATGTCCCCTGCATCGGCAGGCGGACTCTCAACCACTGCGCCACCAGGGAAGACCCCCTGTCTCCTTTTAAAGATGAACTTGAAGACACTAAGTCGGTTAGGTCAGAACTGGCACAGGATCCAGGGTATGTCCTCCCCAGACCTGTGCTCTGTGTCACTGGTTATTTCATGACGGTCTTGGCCAGGGGCAGAGAGGAGAAGCAGTTCTGGACCAATACACGTGGGCACCGGGGTGCACTCACAGTGTCTTTCCTTCAATGCAGTATTCTTTAAATATGGGGTCAACGCTGATTTAAAAGAGAGTCTGCTGGGGGTTGGAGTGGGAGGCTGCTGATGACGATTCTCAGCCTCCCCTCAGTTGTCTCAAGTTCTTCACTGTAACCACTCCCACTCCCGCCTCCTAACTCAACAAAGCCCCACAGCTAACAGGTCCTATTGCCTTAGAGGGCAGGTCAGTGGCGATGGCTGGGTTACTCTGAGTGCCCACACTGGCTCTGAACTTGGCCATGTGATCTGCTTTCGCTGGTAGGACAGTAGCAAATGGGACACAGCAGGGACTTGAACAGCGCATGGACGTTTCCACTCCTCTCTGAAACACCCACTGCTGCTGAGAGAACAAGCCCAGCTACCCTGCAGAGGTATCGAAGACACACATGGAGCAATGGCAAGTCATCCCAGCCAAAGCCATTCTTTAGCAGCTAACCCCCAGCTGACCAGTTAGTGGAAAGTGGATACACAAACAAGCCTTGTTGAGATTTTAGCCCAGCCCAACCCACGTCAACAGAACCACCCAGAAACCCATGAAAATGAACAAATAGCTATTTTAATCCATAGGTTTTTCAGGTTGGTTATGAAGCAACAGAAAACTGATACAATGTCCATGGGTTGTTACTGGACTTTAGGCATTTAAGTATCTTCCCCAAGTGTCCCTTGGATGTATGGATGTTTTCAAAGAACAAACTGTATATAATCTTCAGCATTCACCTGAGCCCACCCCATGCAGACCTTGCCTTTAATGAGGCTGCTTCTTGCTGAGGCCAGGATAGTATTTGCTTCTCAGGCCCTGACTTCAGCTGATGCTTGCTGTCTACCTGGCATACGGTAAGGTTGTGCCTTGGAGCAATCGGTCAGCACCTTCGCTGAGGCACTCAATTTTGCTCACAGCCTTGCTTCCACGAATAAATCTACTCACCCATGGACAAAGCCTCCATCCGGGTGAAGGCCCTGTGAGATTAGCACCTGAGGCTTAAAGTTACCTGCCTGGATCATAGCACTGAGGCCCCAACTGCAGAATGATACAACCAAGCCTCAGGGTCAACACAGGCATCTGTCATTTACTGTGTCCACCAGCCCCCATCCTAAGCTTCTCCATTTGCTACTGTGACCCACCAACTACATCCCTTGATGTTCCTCCAGGTTCCTGGACCAATTCTCCACTTGCTGTAAGTTTTCAGGGGGGTACCACTAAGGATTATCCCTCCTCCCCACCCAAGTTTTGAACTAGCTGAGAAGTAAGATTTTGAAAATGGCAGATGGGCTTCCCTGGTGGCGCAGTGGTTGAGAGTCCGCCTGCCGATGCAGGGGACACGGGTTCGTGCCCCGGTCCGGGAAGATCCCACATGCCGCGGAGCGGCTGGGTCCGTGAGCCATGGCCGCTGGGCCTGCATGTCCAGAGCCTGTGCTCCGCAACGGGAGATGCCACAACAGTGAGAGGCCCGTGTACCGCAAAAAAAAAAAAAAAAGGCAGATGGAGGTGGATTTTTAAAATAAAGCTGGTATTGGAGAATGTGGCTTATATCTGTGGGAAAGTGGGTTTCTGTAAACTGAGCCTCAACCTTCGACAGGCTTAATCACCTAGATGTGATTGGATGTGCTGGGTAGGTGCCCTGCTCAAGGGACTGAACAAATGCTTGCTTCTTGCAGGCAGCGTTTCCTGTGTCTGGAAAGCATTTCCTCCATATCGTTATATGGATGGCTTTCTTTTTTTAAATTAATTTTCATTTATTTATTTATTTGATATGGGCTGAGCAGCTGCCCTTACCCCAAAAGCCAGGCACTAGAGACATAGAGGTAGAGAAGACCCAGACTGCCCTCCAGGGCAGTCCTCAAGGAGGGACATGAAGGGTGGAGAAGCATCTTTAGCAGAACACATCCTCAAAGGCAAGGGCAGTGACCTCCATCCATGCTGCGTCCATTCCTCCACATACCACCTTATCCCCAGACCCCACTCAGAGCTGGCACATGACAGGTGCCAGTAATTGTGTGTTGACTCTTGAGTGGAGGAAACAGAGTGTTCTGAGCTGAGCAGATAGCAAAGGCTCATATCAGCGGAGAAAGCTAAGTACCTACGTGAAAGGGAACTCTTGATCAATGTCTAAGTAACATCTGGTTCTCAACTGGTCTTGCTCTGCCATCATAAAGAGTCATTACTGAAGCCAATGTAAAATACGAAGGACCCCGGGACAAACACACCGCTGTTTTTTCAAAGCAAGCCCATTAAAACAACCCGAAAAAATAATGGCATCTGCCTCAGGTTTCTGCTTGGAGATGGTTTCATGCAACCTCAGCATTTTATCCCAGGCAGCTCTGCGGAGAAGAGGCACTGGGGAAACAATTTGTATCTCTTTTAACTAAAACGAGAAGCCTTGAAGTCTATGGGTTGTCCATTTCCGTAAGACTCCAATCCAATCGCGGGGAAGGGTGTCAGATCTGAAGATTCTGCATGCTGTTAACTGCATGTGGTTTGTTCCTCCTGGTATTTATATCTAAGGCAATGCAAAGCCTCCGATTTTATAGCCAAGTTAGGATGCTGAGAATATTCCTGAGTAGAATGTGCCTGAAATTAATTAAGATACGGAGAAAAATTGGGCATAGCACCAGGAATAGAGGAGATATTGAGTTATGATTTGTTGAATGAGTGAATGAGAATAATTTATAAGATCACTCTATACTTTCCGTGGTTTCATATATTTCAAATGTAGTCTCATCCAGTCGGGCTGTACCAAGATGATTTCACAGAGGGACAAAGGGAGTTTAAAAAAAACAACGTGAGAGCAGTCACGCAGTCCAACAGGGGTGCAACAGTTACTGATTTACTGAGTCCTTACACACGATGCTTTTTTGCCACTTTGGTGGCTACAGAACCTTTCTGGACCTTTCTGGCCCCCAAAGTATCGCCGTCAGAGAAGTCCAGGATGGGGCACAGCCAGAGCAAAGATAGAAGTAGCTGAATCAGTGGGTAGGGTCACCTGGGGAAAGTGTGAATATCGAAATAGTCAGTGATCTCTGAACATCGCCAGCATTTCAACACTACTCTCTCATTTAACCCTCAGCAGCTCACCTGACGGTTCTTGTGTTTCATCTTACTTCCCATCCAGGAAGCAGTATAATGTATTGGGGAAAACACAATTGAAGTCAAAGTTCTGTTTCCCAGACTCCGTTAAGCCTCGAGTCCCTCATTTATAAATTAGGGACTATGACACCTCTCTTGTAGAATGAGTATATTGATCACATATTCTAATTTCTGTGAAGTAAAACGTATCCACGGGCTGCCACATAAGAAGGCAAACAAACATTAGTAGCCTGTGCTTATGTTTAAGCCAGTGTGTACGATCCTTGAAGGCAGAAACCAGCCTGATGGATTTTGACCAACTAAACACACTCAGTGCAACCAGCTCCCAGAGTGAGAACCCGAACGTCCTCAGTATCCCAGAAGGCTTCCTCATGCTCCCTTTCCACGAGCTCTTCTAATATTTCACAATAAGCTACAAGTCTGAAATTTAAAGTAATTTCCCTCAGATTCTTAATGTATTGAGTGGTGACCATGTAAGACACAGACCATAGGCTGGACCTGGTTTAAGGCACCCACACTGCCCACCGTCCCTCCACTCAGGGTGGGTGTCTGTTAGCCCCTGTGCCTAAGAAACCACCCCAAAATGCAGTGGCTTAATACAGCAAACATGTGTTGTTCCTCCTAAGTCTGGCTAGGCTCACAGAAGCACCTGTAGGCATCTGGAAGGTCATCTGGGGGCTAACTAGTCAGGGCAACCTCGGCTGGGACGTCTGATCTCCGATCCATGCAGTTTCTCATCCTCCAGCATCCCAGCCCAAGCTTGCTCACCTGGTTGCCAGGCAATGTGTGGAGGGAGAAAGTGGAAACCTGGACTTGGAGGCAGGAGGGTCAGAGTCAGAGAAGGAGGTGTGATGATAGAACAGAGGTTGGACTCATATGGCCAGGAGCCAAGGAATGTGGGGCAGCCTCTAGAAGCTGCAAAAGGCAAGGAGTGGGTTCTTCCCTCAAGCCTCCAGGAGGGACACAGCCTTTGACGTTAAAACCATCAGACGTTGGGCTCCCCTGGTGGCGCAGTGGTTGAGAGTCCGCCTGCCAATGCAGGGGACATGGGTTCGTGCCCCGGTCTGGGAATATCCCACATGCCGCGGAGCAGCTGGGCCCGTGAGCCATGGCTGCTGAGCCTGCACGTCCGGAGCCTGTGCTCCGCAACGGGAGAGGCCACAACAGTGAGAGGCCCGCATACAGCAAAAAAAAAAAAAAAAAAAAAAAAAACCATCAGACGCATTTCAGACTTGGGACCTCCAGCACTGTGACATACATTGGTGTTGCTTTGCTGCTAAGCTGGTGGTAGTTTGTTACAGCAGCAATAGTCAACTGATACAGTGTGTTCTTGCCGTGTTGCAGACTCTGCCTTTCATAAGTTTTGGAATGACTGCGGACATTCTTATATGGCCGAGAACATACCACCCAAGGGCCAAGCAACCAGGCCCTGATTTGGACGTTGCACCTCACAGACAGTCCCTCTCTGGCGCCCCCTCCAACCATGACCCTCCCCGTGGAGTCAGGGGTCTTCCAGGCCCACGCTCCTCCCATTGGGTCTGCACAACAGCATCACCTACTTGTTTGTTAGGTACCAATTCCTGAGTCCCACCCAAGACCTACTGAATCAGGACCACTGTGTGTGGGGTGGTGCGGTTCAGGAGTGTGTATTTTAATCTGACAGTTCTTGGGATCCCCCTCCAAGGATTTTGAAGAAGACAAGATTCAGAACCATTGCTACCCAGGGTCTGTGGGGGTCTTTCCCCATGGTTTGTCCTTCTAAGGGTGAGTCATGCTAGAATGTATGCAGCCTGGGGCCCAGGAGATGGCTGTTTGGAAGAGGGTTGGGAGAGGATCAAGCTTAGTCATATGGACTGATGTGTCTGCATCATCACATAGGAGGTCCTGGCTGTGCTGGGAGGAGCCAGGGGAGGGAAGAGAATAGAAGATGGACTGGGGTTTTCATTTAATCTCTTGTTCCCAGGAACATCTGATCTTAACAAGGGACTGACATAGGGGAAAAGGAAAGTGCTTTGGAAAGTGCTGAATGCTGTCCACTTGGAGAAATTATGATCGTCACCTTATTTAGGAATCAAAATTACTTTTTATGGCATGACTGAAATAATAAAAAGTTTTCATAGTAATAATAGTAATTGTAATAGTTACCATCCTAGGTCTGGTCTCCTGGAAGCAGAGCCTGAGATAAGGATTCATGTGCCCATGATTTATTGAGGAAGCACTCCCCGGGGGAACCTGGGAGCAGAGGAAGCTGGACAGAAAAGGGGAAGAAGCAAGGCAGTGATTACAGGCAAAGCCCCCGCCTCAGCTTGATCCTGAGGGCAGCTCTGGAGTGTGAATTACACTCATTGTCAAAGGAGCTGGGCTTTGTGACTGCTGCCCCATCAGTAACTATCTGCTTGGGGTGACACCTGGCACCCAGGCTGCCTGCCTGAGCAGGTAGAGTGGCTCCGGGAGCTTAGGGGCACACCTCTCAAGAAGGTTTCATGTGCCAGCTGTTAGGAGGAAAGCACACAGAGCTGGAGGGTGGGTGCCCAGAACCAGCGCCCTGGGTCCCAGAGGACCTGGCTGGGGCACTGACATGTCCATTCTGGCAACCCTCAGCTCTTGCTCTGTGCCAGGAACTATTCTCAGGGCTTCTCTTGTATTCATCCATCAAACCCTTACCAGGTAACAACAGTTGCCGTCCTCACTTTATGAATGTGGTATCTGGGGCACAGGAAGACTAAGTAATTAGACCAAGGATCCACCAGAGGTAGGAGGTGGCTGAACTGGGATTCAAAGCCAGGCAAAGCAGTCCCCAACCATCGTGTTAATGGCCCCCACGTGCCTCCACTGTCTCAGGGGCCCCATCTGCCCTCCCTGCCTTGGACTTCTTGCAGGGACAATACTTCTTCGAGGGACAGCAGGAAGGTGGTTCTCTGAGTCTCCTTTATCCAGGAAATTGGAATGAGGTTTGTGAAGAAAAGGGAATTTTTTATCAACCGAGAGAGAAAATCTCAATCTATATGCTTAATTAGGTCAGGTATCCGTTTTCCTCTGAGTCTTTTCTAGTTCTTTGAAGTCAGAGGAAGCCCTGGGCATTGGAGAGGGGAAAAAAGTGGAGAGAGAATTGGGAGGAAACCTCCTATGTACACACACACACACACACACACACACAATCAATCGTCAATCCTCTTTAAGGATTGAATGCAGATAAAGTCAACTATCAACCTCATCAACATGGAAAAAAAAATGCTTAAAATAAAAACTAGGACAGTCCCCCGAAGGAGGGAAATCTCACAGTCTATCTGAAGAATGTCCTACCTTGAGAGACTTATTCCCCCACTGTCTTACCAAAATACTGAACTTGCGTGCAGTCAATCCAAAGCCTCCTTGACGAGTTAGATATTTTAGGTAAAGCAGAAGCCTCAAAATATAGATGTGAAAATATCAGGGATATATGAACCTGCTCACGGTGGAGCAGGCTGCTGTGGGAGAGCCAGTGGGGATGGGGGGTGGGGGAGGGCTGGTCAGGAGGTCTGGCTGTCCTTGTAGGATCCACTGTGATGCCCACTCCCTTGATGGTTCCAGGCCAGCATCATCCAGTGCAGTGTCCTGTCGTCATGGAAACGTTCTGTACCTGTGCTGTCTATTCAGTGACCACTAGCCACAAGTGACTGTTAAATACCTGAAATATGTATAGTGTGACTAAGGCAGTCAATTTTTACTTTTGTTTAATTTCAATTACTTAAGTTTAAATTTACATTGGTGCATGTGGCTAGAGGCTACCATATTGGATAGCTCAGCTCTGGGTCTTAACCTATTATAGACTTGGTCTTTCAAAAAGCACCTAAAAAATGAGATATTTATGTCCTACCCCTTTTTGTGCAGGTGAAGAAACCAAGTCTGTCAGTTAAATCTTGCTGCATAACAAACCGCCCCAAGACAGTGGCTTGAAATAACCATCATGATACTGTGGGTCACACATTCGGGATGGGCATAGTTTTCATTGTCTGCTTGGGCTAAATTTATGCATTTGTGGGCAGCTCCCACTCAGCTGGGAACTGGCTGGTCTAGGAAGAGCTCTGCTGCGATGGCTTATCTGGGCTCCATTCGGCCTTTTATCCTCTCAAAGGCTAGCCTGACCTTTTGCATGTAATGGCAGCGCAGGGTTCCAAGAAAGGGGGCCATAGTGTGCAAGGGCTCTGAGGCTTAGTCTCAGACCTGGCACTGCCATCCTGCTGCATTCTATCGGCCAAAGCAAATCACAAGACCAGCCCAGATTAAGGGGCCAGGAAATAGACTCCTTTTCTTGATGGAAGATGCAGGAGAGTCACATGCAAAGAGCATGGATACAGGAAGCACAAACATTTGTGGCTATTTTTATGATTAACCACACTGAGGCCCCAAGGGTGCAATGCCTGGCCTGATGTCACAAAGGAAACTTTTAGTAGAGCTGGGTCTGGGACCTGGGACTCTTGACTCTCAGACCAGGGCTGGCCCTCGGTTCATTTCTTGGATTCTCTGTATATCCCTTGCCTTTGTGCACCTCAGTTTCTGTATCTACAGAAAGATGGAGAGACACAATTATTTCTCTGACTTCTCCAGTTCTCAATTAGTGTAAGCGTTGGACTTGGTGGTTGCCCTTGGGTGAAGTGTGGGGGAGGGGCAGAAACATAGGTGTGGGCAGATCTGGGGGAGCCCAGGCGGAATCCCTGAAAGATGCCTCTTTTGCAAAGGGCTGTTTGGAAGCCAGAAAGTAAGGCACACTCGACCAACATAAGGTATTTACCGTCGAGCTCAACCCTTTGGAAAGAAGTTCATAAAAGACTGAGTTTGGAAAGGATAGAGTTTTTCCTTCCAGCTTTTTCTAATTTACAGTCCACATACTTCCTTTTCCTTTCATAAATATGATGTACGTGAGGGGAGTGATCTAAATATCTTCCTAGTTCCCGAAGCTTGACAGTATTTTCACATGGATCTCCCGTTCGATAAATCAAGCCTTGCGGATCTGCGAACTGCAATGCCAATAAAATTCCTCTGTGGAGAAGGGCTGCTGCTTCTGTGTTTCCAGTTTTGTGTCTGTGAGTCTCCAAGATGGCATTCCCGCTGACGGAAATGCCTTGGAGCAGATACCTCGCAACTGTCGGTCCAGATTTGTGCGTTGAGCCAAATCACTAGCTCACAGGTCTTTACTTGTGACAATAAACAGAAATTAGTAGAAAGAAAAGTCTTCTGGGGGAAGGGAACTTGGAGAAGATGGTGATGATCATGAAGAAGGTGAGGAAGATGAGGATGATAAAGATGATGAGCTGGAGAGAGAAGAGGGAGGGCGAAGGGAGGAGGTGGGATGGGAGGAGGGAGGGCAGGGATGGGGATGAGAGGAGGGGGAGAAGGAAGGGAGAAGGGGGTGGGGAAAGAGGATCACAGGGGCTGAGCCAGTTCTGAAGCCCGTTTCTCAGGATGCAGGCAACTTCCCTTCCCTCTCTCTGGGTTGTGGACTCTCAGGGGAATCCAGTGGGAGTCCCCAGGTTAGTGACAGTGTGATAACCCCGAGTGTGGAGCCCCGAGTCTGCTCTGTCCTCAGGGTCTGTGTGACATCCAAGGAGTTGCTTTGTCTCTTTGTGTATTTGTCCTTTCAGCAACATAAACGGGCTCTATGAGGTGGTTTTTATTTTAAACTCTTATTGGCTAGGAAACTTCTCTTCATGTGAACTTTTATGAAGAAATTATATATACATCCCACAGATGAACAGGGCTGCTCTGTGCTCCATGTAAGACGTTTGGGTTAGACCGTCTCTGTGGAAACAGCCCCTGAGATGAGGGTACATGAGCTGTTGGTCTCTTAAGGAAGTGCTTCCAGGAGGAAGTTAGGAAAGCAGGAAGGGGCTGGGAAGAAGTAGAGAAAAGGTGCAGTTTCCAGCAAATTCCCAGCCTTAGCCTGGTCCTGTGGGGTGTTCTGGAGCATTAATGATGCCTCAGAGTTTATCTCCATTGAAGTAAGGGAGCTGGGTTTTCATGCTCTTGGGTAGAGGTCGGCCAGGAGGATGCAACTCAGTAATTTCCTGGCAGTCCAGTGGTTAGGACTCAGCACTTCCATTGCCGGGGCCTGGGTTTGATCCCTGGTCAGGGAACTGACCCTGCAAGCTGTGCGTTGTGGCCAAAAAAACGGAGGACATAACTCTCACAACTGCCAGCTCCAGTAGCCCAAGGGCAACCCTCTGAGAAGGATCACAGGGGCCGCTCCTTAGCAACAAAGCACTGCTCACCTGGGGGATGGGCACAAGGAACTCACCCAAGGAATCCTAGGGAATTGGGGCAGGGCGCCAACAATGGCTGTCATACTGTCTCTCCCCAGAAGCTAGGTAGGCTCTGTAGGCAGGCTTGGTGAACAGAAAATGAGCCCATCTGAGACCAGTAAGTCTGTAGGCAACCCACCGGCTGACCACATGATAGAGTCACATAATGGAGCCCAGCCCAGATCAGCAGAACCATGGGAGTTGTTAGCTAGTGGTTAGTTCTTGTTTTAAGCCATTTAGTGTTGGCATGCTTTGTATGCAGCATTAACTACCTGATACACAGGGAAGGAAATTATCAGAACGCTGAGTCTCATTTTCATCCCAACAAAGACTTATCTGTAGCTAGAATTTGAATATGGGTTCAGTATTGGAGTCAGAATTGGACTCTATCCAAGTTTTGCTTTACTTTCCCCTGCAGTGACGTTGAACTTCATCAGACACTGGATAGTTCTTCCCGGAAGGAGGCAATAAGGATAATGCCTCTCCAGTTATTACTGAATTAATATTAGACAATTGACCCTTTCTTTCAAATTATCGCTGGCATTTCAAGATACTCCTGGGTTTTAATCTACTGCCTTATCATCCTCGAGGTCACTGCTACAATGGAATTTGTTCTTGAAAGATAACTTAGCTTTTTTAAAAAGAAGGAAGCAAATATTATAAAGAGGGAAAGAATAAAATAAGATTACATGGCTAAGCAAAATAATGAGGGAGGATCAAAGAAGAAAGGAGAAATTAATTGAACTGTGCTTTGAATGATTGTTTTGGTGAACAGCCTTTTATACAGTTAAGGTTACAGTGGGGAGGTTAGGTCAATATCTCCTTTACATATATATTGTATATATATTTTATATATATATATATATATATATATATATATATATATATATATATGTATATATGTATCTCAGACATTCCCATGACTTTACTTAAAGTTATTTTAAAGCTTCAGAGGGGTCCAAATACAAAA